CTCTGTTTCTGATCAGTCAGTGAGAGGAGAGTAGGATGTATAGCTATTTACACCTGGCATTTCCATCATGCGTCTTGAATGTGTCTCCATTGATCACTTATTGGATTTTGTGATGGGGGAAGGGCAGATGTAGATGTAAAGTCAGAGACGATAGCTCATCTGCTGCTGCACGGTTTGTGTTGGTCATCCTCTAGTCTTTCATCAGTGGTCACAGGACGCTGCCCACAGGATGCTGCTGGCTGGATATTTCTGGATGGTGGACTATTCTCAGTCCAGCAGTGACACTGAGGTGTTTAAAAACTCCAGCAGCACTGCTGTGTCTGATCCACTCAGACCAGCGCAACACACACTAACACACCAGCACCACGTCAGTGTTACTGCAGTGCTGAGAATGATCCACCACCCAAATAGTACCTGCTCTGTGAGGGTCCATGGGGGTCCTGACCACTGAAGAACAGGGTAAAAGGGGGCTACCAAAGTATGCAGAGAAACAGATGGACTACAGTCTGTAACTGTAGAACTACAAAGTGCACCTATATAGTAAGTGGAGCTGATAAAATGGACAGTGAGTGTAGAAACAAGGAGGTGGTCATAATGTTATGCCTGATCGGTGTATAAGTTTGTTGCTATGCAACATTCTACAGTCTGACTAGCCGAATTCAAAAAGCAGTGGACCAAAACACTCCTTATAACTTCAGTGTGAATGGGCGGAGCTACACTGTTAAAAATAAAGGTTCTGTACAGGTTGATTTTTTGTTCATCAAGGTACAAACCATGTAAATGTTCCCTCAAAGGTACAACAGTGGTTTAGGGCCAAACTGTGTAACCTAAATAAGTTTGTCCAGGTGAAAAGTACATATTCTACGTCAAACTATTTTCACATTCTTCAGATTGGAGGAGGATGTTATACATGGTTCTATATAGAACCTTTTTGAAAATGGTTCTAGCACCAAAAAGCGCTCTTCTATTGTTACAAGGTTGACTTCATAACAATTGAAGAACCCTTTTTGGTGCTATATATAGAACCATTTTCAAAATAGTTCTATTTAGAACCATCTTCTCCATTAATCTGAAGATCATTAATCATGCAAAGGGTTCTTTGAGTGTTTATGTTCTATATAGAACTATTTTCTTTACTAAAGAATCCTGAAAGAATTTTTTTCAAATGTGTATACAAAAAGCTATTTAAGCATGAAATTGTGTTATATAGAACTCATAGTTCTAAATAGAACCACTGTCTTTAGTAAAGAACCCTTGAAAAAACATCTTTTTTCATTGTGTACACTTACATATTATGTATGCATTGATTACGTAAGTACATGTAGACAATAAATATCTGCCAATATTTTGCCCAACATTTGTTTTTATTAAAATAGCTTAGGCCACAATTAAATAAAATAGATTTGCTTTAGCAGAGCAGCATTTGAAGGCCAAGACACGATGCAAACAGCAGTATACAGTTTGTGTGTTTTCAAAATGTACACCATATTCTGAGGCATTCAAAAAAGAACACAATTGGTATTTCCTGTACACAGTACAATGCTAAAGCACTTAACCGATGCATATAAAGAACACAGAGCAAAGAAAAATAGACACTATAGACACTATAAAAATGAACAAAACAGTGCAATATAAAGAACAAACTTACGCTCATAATGGAAATGACCAATGACTGTCTTCTCTAGGTCTGTTTTTCTTTTTGTTTTTCAGCTTTCCTTTCCATACATGCTTAGACAGCTCAAGGTATCAGATGTGCAGGGATGCTGAGGGCTATATTTACTCTGCTAGGCTATATAATCCCCTCAGGACACTGCAGATGTTTACACAGCTGGAATGTTCTGAGGGATTCATACATTTGCACACGCACACAAACAACACAGCATCTTCAAATATTCATAAACAGAAAACACAAGTCAGTGATGTCAGTGGAAAGTTACATATTCCTTCCCAGCATGTCCTTTTTTCCCTGCTTTTTAGCATTTTAGCCACTGTACAGCATTGTCTAGGCCCCTAACTCCCAAATGCAGACCATTAGAACCTATATAGAACCATGAACATGCAAAGAACCATTTGCCTGCTTAAATGGTCCTTTGCCTGGTGGAATCATTCTTCTGATTGATAGAAAATGGTTCTATATAGCACCCAATAGAACCCTCTTTGGTGCTACTTAAACCACTTTCGAAAAGGATGCAAAGAACCATTTAACGTCATATGGTGTTCATGGTTTTATTTAGAACCACTGTCTTTACTGAAGAACCCTTGAAGAAGTCAGGTCAGTCACAGGTCACCTATTACATATCAGGAGCCTTTACATAGCAATATCAATTGTCATATTAACACAGTTAGTCAAAACACAGTACAAAACCACCAGAAACACTTAATTATCTTTACATGATGATCTTCTGTGATCTTAAACTCCCTGCACTTTGAATTTTTGAGGCAGAAATGTATTCAGGCTGTAGGCTAAGCACCGCACATATCAGCACAGACAGCGTTCTGGCACCAGATTCTTTAAAGACATTCACAGTGTGATATTCCTATGAATGAAAGCAGTGGTTCAGTGAAAAAGGTTTCCCAGTATCCCTAAGGTAAGACATGTTTGGTGCCTTGAAGTTTAGCACTAGCTATGACGCTAATGTAGCTAACAAGAAGCGTAGGTAGTCCAGTTAGCATCATGCAAACTACAAGCCCAAATCTTCACATTATAATCATAAAATGATCTCAAACAGACTCGCTTTTGTGGTTTCTGACATCTGTTATATACAAAACAGGGACAAACACATGTAGCATGGCAAAAATAGAAGCCATCTTTAAGCCTAAAATGTCAGAAACCACATATGTCTGATTGAGAGTAGGCATTCAAGAGTTTGTTGCAATGCTAATGTGCTATAAGCTTCCATTACTTAGCTTCATTAACTTCGAGGCTCCAGTTTTAAAACTAAGGAAGCAAACTTCAGTCATCAAACGAGGCTGCCTTTGGGGTAAAGGGACAATTGAGGAAAGTTTTTGCCCAAAGAGTTTCCAAGGCTCAATCCCATTTCTTCTTTTTACCCCTACCCTCTTGTTTTCGAGTGTCACCCTAACCCCTTGGAACCGAGTTACAAGGGGTAGTGGTTGAAATCTTGCCCTATCAAATGGGACAACCCTCAAATTAAAAAAAACAAAAAAACATTGCTTCATTAACAGCTACTAGCGCTGCTCTGTAGGCGACCCGGCCCGACTTCAGTGATAACAGAGAAGGGAAAAGTTCAGCTCCTCACTGCTGGGCTTTAGGTACATTTAGAGCATCATATGCCTTCAAAGAGGGGGATAAGACAGTTATTTATTATCGCACACCACTGATTCTTTAGTGATATGAAGCTGAAGTCAGATATTCACCAGCTTCTTGTTTGAATTTTCCCGTTCCACCTTAAATAGTGCAGCAGTTACATTCTGGCGCTTCAGGCGTCAACACTGCTGAACTATTTAAGTTGGAATGGGAAAGTTAGCTAGCTAGCTACCGAGACATTAGCATACTATTAGCGATTTTTTATGCTTGTTATGAAGAAAACAGCCATAATACATTGAAACAACATTAAACTAAGATAATACAATGATTAATGTAATTTTTTAACCGAGAAAATTTTCACATTTGTAGGTTTCTTTGGTCGCTCGCGCAGCCATGTCGCCAGTTTTTTTCTTTTTTTCTGATAACACTCCGCTTGGAGTGCCTCTGAAAAACCTCTGTTTGGAGGGCCATGTAGCCCCAACACTTTACCCCACCCCTCTATCGCAACAAAAATCAGGACACCCTAACACTGGATGTGAATGCGCAAAACAGAGGGCTAAGGGCTAAGTGGTGGGGGCAAGGGGTGAAATAGGATTGGGCCCAAAACAGGGATTAAGCCTAGTCCTGGACTACATTTGCATTTCAATGAGGCATCTTCTTTTAGAATGTTGTAGTATAGGACTAGTCTTGTGGGGCCAGATGTGATCTCATAAAAAGAATCAAAAGAAGGTTTTAGGTTAATTTGGGTGGGAACATAGACTCACTAGGGTGGGAGCAAACTGTGTGGGGAAATTGCTAAACAATTTAAATGCTTCTTGAAGGTGCAGCTCAAACTAGGGGGTGATGGTGCGCTCCTCAACACTGTCCAATGGACAAAAAGCCTGTTGTTAGCTCATGAATGTAATGTACGTTAGCATGGCTCAAAAGTTCCCCCAAAAACTCTAATAAAGCATGTAGATGTGTGTCATGTACGCATATTACACATGGAAAAAAAATAGATTACCTGCTGCAAGAGAAAATAGTTCAGTTAGCTAACGGTAGTGTTTCGCTAGCTAGCTTGTTTTGCATGTATTATCAATTGTTTTCCAGATGTTAAAAGAGAATGAACTAAAGGAGGATTTGGGGTGGGTTTTAGAGGACGTAAACCTTTATTATTCCACTGCAATCCAACATCTTCTTGTTACAAGATCACATCTAACCCCCTAGACCAGCTAAGCACAGGAGTAGTGTGCTGCAAGAGAACGAGGCTCAGTGTGTCATAAGTTAGCCTGCATGGCTCAGAGAGTACTATATACATGGTCTGTGTAGTTAGCCTAGCGCAGGGGTACCCAAGTCCAGTCCTGGAGAGCCACCTCTATAAGTTCAGCTACAACATAATTGGCATTAAAATTCAAATGGACTGTATTAGTTGTACTGCGACCCAGAAGGAGAAGCAGTTTAGATGATGTATGCATGTATGTATGTATGTATTAGTTGTGTTAGACAGAGGTGTAAAATTCAGGTCCAGAAAGTAAAAATCCTTCCCAGGATTTTGTTCCAACTGCCTGGACAGCTCTGCTGGTGGTTTGATCTAACTAGAGAAGCCAGGCCTGGGGAGGGTTTTTACTTTCTGGACCTGAATTTTACACCTCTGGTGTTAGATTAGACTTCGGAGCAAACCTCTGCAGGACAGAAGATTCATTAGGACCAGACTTCGGCACCCCTGGCATAGCAATTCCATACCTCCAGAAACTTAGCACGATTCTGGTGGCTCAGATACACAAATGTTGGGCAGGCTGTACCAGCAGCAGAAGATCTCCTTGAAGGTTTTCCTCATTTCGTGACTCCTGAAGGCGTAGATCAGCGGGTCGATGATGGAGTTGCACATGATGAGGATGAGGTACATGTTGAAGTGGGACATAAAGCAGGCACAGTAGGGGTTCCTGGGGCAGGTGATCATAAGGATGAGGTGCAGAAAGAACGGTGCCCAACACACCACGAACACGCCCAGCAGGATGGTCAGGGTCACCGCCCCCTTCATGTTGGCCCTCTGGCGGATGGGCGCGTGGCCTGGCAGGGCCGCTATGCGCTTGATGTGGAGACGCGCCAGCAAGAACATGTGGACATATAGCGAAGCCATGAGGGCTAGCATGGTGAAGAACATGCTAATGAGGCACACCAGTACGGTGGTGCTTTCTGAGTAAACGATGAAAAGGACACCTGAGATGGTGCAGCAAGCCCAGATAGAGCTAATGACTGCCAGCGTGCGACGGGCTGTTACAATGTGATGGTAGCGCAGCGCGTAGAAGATGGTAATGTAGCGGTCAACAGCGATAGCTAGCAAGCTGCAGATGGACGCTAACAATGAACTGCAGATCATAGAATCGAAGATGTTGTCCATGCTGCGGATCACTCCAGCCGGGATTGAGACGTTACCGCCACTGATCAAGGCAATAACAATTGTTTCTGAAGCATTGGACACGCTAACCAACATGTCCGCTACAGCTAAGCTGCAGATAAAGAAATACATGGGCGAGTGCAGGTTCTTGTTCTTGGCAATAGCCGCTATCACCAGGATGTTCTCCAGCAGGCTGATGATGCCCAGTGTGAGGAACACCTCAGTGGAGATTAGCAGCTGTTTGTAGCATCCTTGCGAGGACGAAGGCGAGTCTTTCCCGACCGGACTGTCTCTGTGGACAGGCATGCTGGCAGCACTGCGATTCCTAGCATTGTAGATTTGGACGAGTCCGTAGTGCAGCGTGGTGTTCATCGTTGGAGCCGCTGAAGACGTTCTACATCGTTCTGGTAGAGTTTCAGAAGAGTTTCAGTTTGCTGTAGTTCTAAATAGTCCAAGAAGAACTACCAGAGTTTCTGATGTCTCCCATGTCCAGGTTTGAGTGGCTTCTGCTGGAATTCTCTCACTTCACCTGTGGTCAGCTTTCACAGTCCACTTCAATCTGCTACTTCAGCCTCAGCTCACCAGCCTCAATAGAAACAGGTAGAAAGTGAAGAAAAAAACTATGTAATATGAAAAAAAATAATAAAGAAGAAAACACTATATCTCAAAAATATATATGAAAGAAAAGATGCTACAAAAATGAGCTTAAAAAGAAGGAGGGAAAAAGCCAAGGCTGGAAAGCAAAGTAGGTAACAGAAGAGTAAACTGCATTTTCATTAGCAGATAATAATAGAAAAAAAGATAAAAGAGTTGTGGAGCTCAAAAGTGGACAGGAACAAAATAAAAACGAGCTGTCAGGAGCTCAGTAGCAAATCAGAGATGAAGATCTCCAAATCCTCCGCAGATCTCTGAGGCAGTTCAGTCGCACACCGCTTCACACACTCATACTCCTCATGACTGAGAGCGAAGCTCCAGTTCTTCTGTGCTGTAACTCCACCCCCCTTATTTTCTCAGCCAATCTAGGGGGATACAGGGATGAGAACAGCACTGGTGGGATCAGTTTGGGGATCAAAGAGCTGTTCATGAATAATTAATGACGTCTGAGCAAGCTTTTGGTTATTCATGATATTCCACAGAGGAAACGCACTTTTCCTGATGTTGTTTATCTGAGATACTCTAATTAACCCACACTGAATTCTCACTTTTTTGTTATTAGTTTTATTGCCATGCTAAATTGCCTGCATGTAAGTTGATGCCTTATTTTTGTCTTTGGTGTGCTTTAAGTTTGTTAGAATATTAGTGTGTCTATGTATAAACTGCCTTTTATTTTGTTTATTTGAATTGTTTATGGTCAATAACAATCAGGCAATTTCAGTTAAAAATAAATATGAAAAATAAGTTGGCTAGTTTGGGCACATTTGCTGTGGGGTAATTTGATTTTCTTGATATATAACTGAAACTAAAATGAAATTAATAATTCAATAAAACATTACACCTTTATATGATCAAATGATGTGACCAAATCCAACTGCAACACGTGATGAAATTTACTGAATGGCTATGGTGTAATGGGGGGGTTGGGGGGGCTGGGGCTGTTGGGGAGATGAGCTTTTCTCATCATCACACTGGTTTATCAGTCTACTCAGGCTTTAGCAGAGCTCAGTAACACTGAGATTAATAACTGATCGTCACATTGATTTATCAGTCTACTCAGGCTTTAGCAGAGCTCAGCGACACTGAGATTAATAACTGATCATCACATTGGATTATCAGTCTACTCAGGCTTTAGCAGAGCTCAGTAACACTGAGATTAATAACTGATCGTCACATTGATTTATCAGTCTACTCAGGCTTTAGCAGAGCTCAGTAACACTGAGATTAATAACTGATCATCACATTGATTTATCAGTCTACTCAGGCTTTAGCAGAGCTCAGTAATACTGAGATTAATAACTGATCATCACATTGGATTATCAGTCTGCTCAGGCTTTAGCAGAGCTCAGTAACACTGAGATCAATAACTGATCGTCACATTGATTTATCAGTCTACTCAGGCTTTAGCAGAGCTCAGTAACACTGAGATTAATAACTGATCGTCACATTGATTTATCAGTCTACTCAGGCTTTAGCAGAGCTCAGTAACACTGAGATTAATAACTGATCGTCACATTGATTTATCAGTCTACTCAGGCTTTAGCAGAGCTCAGTAACACTGAGATTAATAATTGATGGTCACATTGATTTATCAGTCTTAAATCAGTTACTGCATCACATCCTAACCCTGTACACAGGTATGGTTCAGCTTTACAATGGAAGGGATATTTCCCCTATTTTCCTCAAAATAAATAAATAATTCACATTTCCACACATGCATTTCCTCTCACTTTTCTCCATCCTGCTTTTCAGTGAGATTCTTGATTTTACCCTCTGACATTTATTGCAGTGAGCAGCAGTATTTCAACTTGACGACTAGGAATCAATTTTGGATTACTATCTCTGTCACTGAGAGTAATTACTCAGAGAAAGAGCAGAGGAGGGGAAGCTGTACACCGCCAGAATAATAAAGACATAAATACCCCCTTGTTCCTTATTGAGATTTAAAGAGTGTGCAGACATCACAGTCAACACACTGCAGATTTAAATACACATCAGTGACTGTCAGAATTCCACAAATACATTTCACTACTGCTGCATGGATATAAAGATAGTTTGACAAAAAATGATTTTCCTCTTACCGTAAGTGCAGCTAATTAACCAAGATATGATTGACGTCCAAATTTTGCTTCTTTGGCTTTACACTTGAAGTACTAGGCTAACAAATACTGGAAGTCAATTCCAAAACTGTTTCCACAAATACATGTCAAAATCTTCATATTGCTGTTGTCAGAAGAAAACTTTGTATCTCCAAAATGGTAACTTTACAGGAGAAGGAAAAAACCTACTGTACTGTTCATGTAAGTCAATGGAACCAGTCATTTTGGGCTGTTTCTTTTGGTCCATTCTTCATGAAATGTAAAAACAATGTAAAGAGCAACAGGTATTTTCAAATCATGCCAAAAACTGAAAAACCACAAAAATGGAGATATGAGGTTTTTTTCCCACAACAGTAATATATTTGCTTTAAATTCTGTCAATAATCTATGTATACACATTAAAACTAGTAAAATGGCATGAATAGACCTTATTCAGGAATTTAAACAGGGGGAGAGCCTAATGCTAGGCTAACTGTTAGCCTAAAGCCTTAAAGCGAAGCAGTACACAATTGTGCATTAGCTGTGTGTCCTTTCTTAGCAGTGGGCGCTACAATATATTGACAGTTAGCAGAAAGAATTACCTTTACAGGAACTGTGTATGACTCTGATGGTTTAGTCGTGACTCTCATGGCAGCTGGAAGCCAATAAAATGTGACAAACAAGCCAACGATCACAATGAACACATGGGTTAACTCAGTTAAACCTGCTACCACAAGACAGGCTGGAACAGGAAAAGATTAACTGTTTTTTAGCATACCAGCTAAAAACACACCAGCGTTCAAAATCTGCGACTTTTTGCAGGATTATTTTTTCACACACAGATTATTATTGAGTCAAACTAGCACAAATTATCAACTGACCAGCAAATGAGATTGTGATGCTGCCACATGATAAGTTTTTTTAATTGATTTTGTTGTGTATATCATTAGAAAATGGTTTAATTTAAAAGCCTCAATGTTAAACTTTCTTTTGGGTGTATTAACAGTATTAAATTAAAGGGTTTTTTCAGAATTCTGTATTAGCCATCGGCTATCCAGGGGACTGAACTGAACTAAACTGAAACTGAACTAAAAGAGCTGAGTAGGCCATTTAAGAGCTCTGTTGGCAAAGGGGGGAGGAGTCACTGGGACAGGTGACTAGAAACAGGAAGAGGAAGGAGAGAAAAAGTTTGGCCATGTGGAAGTGAGGGTGGTGATGTCTTTGGGGGAAAAGGAGCAGTACATCCCAAAGCCAAAGGGAAGCACTAGAAGGTGGATTTCCTCTGAGTGTCTTGGGAATAATTTGAAATCCGACCTGCACCTCCGGTGAGATCTGTCCTGGATTTTTCTTTTTTGTTTGCTGCGAAGGACTTGTGGGATTTTGGATTTTTTTGGATTTTTGGGGATTTGGACTTTGTGGACTTTGAGATTTTGATGGACACTGGTTACATATTGTGTATATAGGGGTTGTATATGCGCTTGTGTTTGTCTCAATATTGCAAATCTGTGATATTTTGATTCAATATAACTTCAAAAGGATTGTTTTTGTCTCTCCTATTCGGACTTGATTGCAAACTCTTCTACTATACTTGGAGTGTATTTTCCTCGAACAACTTCAGTAACTATTTTCGTGGTTGAGATTGATAAGGGGATTGTTACAAAATGACTCACTATTGAGAAGACACTGTTGCTGTTATATGTGTTGAGGTGATGGTGGTGTTAACCACACAGATTCACCCAAATATGAGTTTAGTCTATGGAAATGCATAAAAACCATCCTTCGGTCCGTCAGGCTATCTGATACAGATTATCCACATATCTGGAGTTTTACATTCAAAATCTGTCTCGCTGGCTGAACTGAAGACCTGACTGATCGAATGGTGTATAGAAACTAAGCAGTGATTGGAGGGCCAAGGAAATAAGGCGGGGTTTGAGAGCAGTTGGTCAAAGTTGAACATGCAAGAATCATGAATGATGCTAGTGTGTTAAAATTTAATCCACATCATTTTAGCGTTGTTCTTGCGTTAAATTACAAGTCATTAAGGGACAAAGAGGCATGCTTCAGCACCTGCAGGGCAACACAACTGTACGGTAATAATTTAGAAGATTTAGGGGGCCCCTTGGTGGTCACGAAGACCCCAAGCATCCACTTAAGTGGCTTCATAGGCAGAGCTGGCACTGTCTGTACAAGATGTGTAAACCCTTTTACTTCAAAATTAAAAAAATGCTGATTTTCCCTGTGGGCTCCCAAATTATGTGTAGGCCTGTATGTATTTTCTGAGTTTAATTCGGTAAATAAAACACTTAAGCAACATATTCTTATAGTAATACAAAATCTACAAAGTTTCATAATTAATGTTTTATAGATAGGAGTGTAAATATTGGAATTTATGTTTTGTTTTTTTTAACAAATCACAAATATTTGCAATAAACAGCAGTGGAAAAATGAAAAAATGTGCAGAACAAGGCAGCAAAAATGTGAAAAAAGCAGTTGTGGTGTTAATTCCATCTTAGGGTTAAAATCTGTGTAAAATAGAATTTTTTGTCTGTTTATAGATAACAGTGTGTCGTACAGTGTCAGAAACTACATAAGTAGGTCTATTAGAGATGACTTAAGAATGGGTTTGAACTGTGGGATGAT